ATGCCCTGTGGTCACCATGTTGATATTCTTAATGCTTTTTTGAAAAACTTATTTTGAGAAAGAGAGAGAAAGAGAAAGAGAGAGAGAGAGAGAGAATGAACATGGGAGGGGAGAAAGAGAATCCCAAGCAGGCCCTATGCCCAGCCTGAGCCAAAATCAAGAGTCAGACACTTAACCAACTGAGCCACCCAGGTGCCCACTTAATGCTTTTTGAACAAGAGGTCCCACATTTTTATTTTGCTCTGGGCCCCTTTAATTATGCAGCCAGTTTCCTCTTGGGTTATTGTTGGGCCAGGCTCTCTGCTCTCCGCCTGCTCTTCTCTCCCACCTATGGCCCCAGACTCAGTATCAAGACTATGCTCAGTGTCATGGTCACTGGAGCAGGAAGCTGATATTCACTTTGTGGTGAGTCAGCTTTCAATGGTCCTCTTGTGAATTTTATGGATTGCTTACCATCTCCAAGTGGCTTTCTCCTGGTCTGGACTTTCAAGATATGCCAGGTAATTTCAACAGTTGTGCCAGCCGAACATGATTAGGAAGGGAGGGAAAAGTTACTTAGAAAAAGCCCTGCCATGCCAAAGCTTAATAAAAATTATTTTTCATTTATAATTTCTGTATTCTTATTAACAATAAACCAGTAAATAGGTGCAAAATCAATTTACAATTGGAGTTTATATTTGAATTTTAAAAAGTCTTCCTGAACACCTGAATACTTTGTTTTATGATGTCAGTTTCCTGTATATTGTTTCTATTTTTTTATGTTGAGCCATATGGAGGACATTTATTCAGTATGCTTATTAAACTTTTATATTTGCACCACTTGCATAAACTGCCTAAAAATCGTGATGACAAAATTCCTGTCTTTGGAGTCCTTTGTTTTCTTTTTCTTTCTTTCTTTCTTTTTCTTTTTCTTTTGCTCCTTTATTTATTTATTTATTTATTTTTGTCCCAGGGAATTCTTCCAAAATGGCAGTTAACTGTTTCTCATTTAACTAATTTATTTATGTATTTTTTAAAGGTTATTTTATTTATTTTGAGAGAGAGAGAGCATGAGCAGGGGAGGAGCAGAGAGAGAGAGAGAAACTCCTAAGCAGGCTCCGTGAGGTCAGCGCAGAGCCCAATGTGGGACTTCAACCCATGAACCGTCAGATCATGACTTGGTCCGAAACCAAGAGTTGGATGCTTATTCAGCCACCCAGACATTCTGCTCCCTTAACTAATTTGAACTTTTCTCATCTCACGATGAGACATCTCCCTTGTCCCCCCTTATTTTGGTAGAAATGCTTTTCTTAAACTGTACTTTATTGTGATGATATATGCCTTCTTGAAGGGCATGGAAAGAATCGTCCTGTTATTTCTCTGTCTCTGTGACCGAGAGCATCGTGTCATCCATGACCCTCAGACGTCCTTAGGAGAACGCACAGGAGACATTGCTCTCCACTTACAATTAGAGCTGGTGACAGGGCTGGCTCGTCCGGGATGACGCCTAGCACAGCAAGCTAACATTGTGTCATAAGGGTCACCAGACAGGGGATGAGATGAGAACAATCTAGTTACCAAAACTTTTAGGAGTACTGCATATGGTTGAAGGGAGTATTTTGAGAGGCCATGTGGGGACGGGCTAAGAATTTCAAGGAGCATGAGCAAGCAACAATATGCTCCATGAACTTCCCTCTCAGCATCTTGGCTGGATTTCGCTGGAGAGCTTTTGTTTGCTGGGTGGGGCCTGGCATTTTGGGACTGAAGACAAACTGCCTGGATACTGGATGAGAAGCTGAGCCCTGTCCCTCCGCCCCCACCCCTTCCTTTTTTAATCCTCTTTAAGCAGCTCCTCTGTAAATGAATGTGGAAGAGATATTTGAAAGACTATTCACTTGAAGGGACGCCAAAGCAGCTTTCCTGCAGACCTACTTACCTTGAGCCAGCCCTAATGTAAGTGCCTGTTATAGTTTAGCTTCTCCTGAGCAACTCGTTTCTGTGTCTGCAGTCTTCGAGTCTCATAACCAGCGCTGATTTCCCCCTTTGAGGTGGAGGAAGCATGGCTTGCAGCTCCACGTGTGGTCCACCTCTCACAAGTGTGCGGGGGTCCTTGTATGCCTTTTGTCTTAACCTCATTCCTGGGCCCATTTTACTGCTTAACCTTTATTTCTTCTTGCCTAATTTTTCCTTCTTATTTTATCCTGCCAAACACTATGCATCTTCTCAGATTGCCTTGACTCCTTACTATTTTGACGTTGAAATTATTGTTTAGAAGTATTTTACGTAAATAATTCTCTTCCTCTTTCTCTTCCTCCTCTTTCTTCTTCCTCTCCCTTCCCCTCTTTTGTGGTTGCTTCATAAGAGTAACAGCAATTATTTCATATCCCATAATATTCTTTGCTTCAAGAGCTGGGCTCCATTGTTGTGGCTCTACATAAACTGACAAAGTAATCACGGGGCATATTTTGGATGAAGATTCATAATACACGTGGTGGAGAAGGGAGGGAGGAAGTGCTCAATCAATTTGTATAAGTAAACATGTACACAGGCAAACAGTAAATGATATTAACTATATAGGATCTGAAGACACAGTAAAATACAAGTGACTCATACTGTACTTCACCAAATAAAGCTGTTATGCATGTTTATATTAAAAATAATTCAAGATATAATTAGTACCATTCACTTATATCTGATAATCAACAAATTATCAGACTAACCTCCTAATAACTAGTTTCAAATGACTACCAGTCATTTCCCCCAAGATGTCCCACAGGCACATTAAACTCAACATCTTCAGTACCAAGCTCAGCATCTCTGGAAACCCTCATCACTGCTCATACTTGTTCCTCCTTGGCCATTCATATCACTGTTCAGATTCCTTTCTCTCTTTTTTTAAAAATGTTTATTCATTTTTGAGAGAGCGAGTATGAGTGGGGAAGGGTCAGAGAGAGAGGAAGACAGAGGATGTGAAACAGGCTCTGAACTGACAGCACAGAGCTCAATGTGGGGTTTGAACTCACGAACTATGAGATCATGACCTGAGTTGAAGTTGGATGCTTATTCAGCTGAGCCACCCAGGTACCCCAGATTCCTCTCTTTTCTGAAGCCCTACATGCAGTCGGTGACCCAGTCCCTTGTTTACATTTGAAATTCCTCTCGAATGCAGACTCATGGATCCTAAAGCCATTTCAGATCCTACATGTATTCCTCAGTGATTCCTTTGCCTGCATTCTCCTGTGGGGGTGTGTACTCCAGGGTGCACATAAAACTGTCTTCTGGGTGAGCAGTGAAAGGATCAGAGTTTCTCTTAATATTTTTATCTCTTCAACATTTCTGGCTTTTAAAATGCATACCGGTTACATATGTAATAAATATAATCACATGTAGGACTATGTGCTCAGACATTTCTAATGGATGTAGAGTCAAAATGGTTTGGAGATGACCAACCTAGACTGTTGTGCTTTGTTACCCTTCCTTCAGTGTAACTTTTCCACCTTTTTATTACTCATCCATGAGGTAAAGTGCTTAAAATAAACTAAGTACTTTATAAGTGTTAGCTATTAGTACCATTTTTAAAGTTTATTTGTTTTGAGAGGGAGAGCATGTGAGTGTGTGTGCATATGCAAGAGAGAGGGAGAAAGAGAATCCCAACCAGGCCCTGTGCTGTCAGTGTGGAGCCCAGTACAGGTCTCAATCTCACAACTGTGAGATCATGACCTGATCCAAAGTCGAGTCAGATGCTTAACTGACTGAGCCACCCAGGCGTGGCTGGCTTTTAGTACTATTATCCTATCCCCAAACTTAACTTTCTGTCCCGCCATCTTAGATCCTCATTATCAAGCATCTGGATTTTTACTTCAAAGACTTAAGTCAGTTGGTTCTCATAGTAAGATCCACAGTTGTTAGCTCCCTGGCTCCTGGCCTGTTTTGCCAAATGTGTGTGAGCAGAAGCTGGCACTCTGGGCTCTGGCTAGTTAGAGCAGAAAGATTGCTGTGGTCTAGCATCACCACAAGATATGTTCGGTCTGCTTCCAGCCTCTCCCTTGATCACTTCCCTATCACGTCATGTCCCTGAACCACACAAATCATTATCCACTGCCCAAGAAAAGAAAACGTGTAGGCTTTAGGTTTTCTATCAAATAAAGTCCACATTCCCCCGGGAGGATAAGGAGAATAAAGTACAGTGGAAAGTACCTACTTAGGATTTGTGGAGTTTTGTGTTCTACTATATTTGCTAAGAAAAGGGGAAGAGGAATAGCCTAGTGTTAAGGCTTCTGAGTCAGGTGACATGAATTCAAATGTGACCCTCTCTGTGTGATCTTGGGTAAATTGCTTCTTATCTCTCTACCTCAGTTTTCTTATCTGTAAAAGGGCATAATGATTCCTGTCTCACAGGACTGTAAGATACATACAACTTCCTTGGGGACCAGTAAGTTTTAAATTAGTGGTAGCACTTGTCATTTGCAATGTTCTGACACTTTTAGAAAGTCTTAGAAAGTCTCCTACTAAGGGAGATTTATCACATTCCAGTTAGAGAAGACTTCTTGAAGGAAATGTCAACTAAATGGGAGCTGACATACATAGGAAGGTCTCAGGCAGTGACCGAGGTGTAGCGTGGTGTGGCTGGAGCAGAGGCAGAGAGAGACCTGGGAGGGAGTGGCGGACCTCGGGAGCCGGGCAGTGTCAGAGACCGACCGGAATATCTTCTCTTTTGTATGATACTGCAGTCTTTGCCACCACTCATCACAACCAACTTTATTTCCATAAGATAACACATGCAAATACCACTCCATATTACTCTCAGAAAACTAAAGCAGCACCTTTATTTTATACAAACAGTATAAAATGTTTATTACATAAGAGCTGTGTTTTGTTTACAATATATTATATTGCTTCAAGCCAATGCCAAAAGTCCATACATTATATTTCCTATTTTATTGTGTTTACAATATATTATATTGTTAAATGCCACTGCCACAGTGTTCTTTCTTTTCTTTTCTTTCTTTCTTTCTTTCTTTCTTTCTTTCTTTCTTTCTTTCTTTCTTTCTTTCTTCTGAATTCTCTAGAATCATGGTAAGGTCAAAATATATTCTACTGAGAGTTTAAAAACAAGAGGAATTTAAAAAATGTGACAAATGTCTAAATATACCACGATAACATTAGAAATGCTGTAACTTCAACACAATTAACTGCTTCATCCAAACGCTGTGACTTATGCATTTTTGTTGCATGTACCTTTTCCAGTGTTCCCCAGCCCCTTGATACGGTGAATGCATTGCAATTTTGGAAATAATTTGCCACCTACACATCTGAAAAGACACAGTTTTAACCTGATCAGCTGACATAACATCAAATCTGTCCCAAAATACTGAAACAAGAAAATCTATGCCATCATGCTATAGACATACTTAGAAAACTTAAAAGGAAGAGTAAATATCAGCTCAATGATTTATAATGAAGCTAATAAAATTCAGGCCAGTATTCTTAACTGTAACGAACATTATTTGAACATTCAACACATGAAAGGTTAACAAAGGCTATGAACTTGGTGTAACTTAAAACGTTTCAGATGTCGGAGTTCACCAGATGTAATTGGATTCAGGTGGATCCTGCCTCCCCTCGGCCTTTTTAAGTGAAGGCGTGTGCTGCCTGAGCCGGGCGCCTGCTGGCCTCAGGGCGTGCATGAGGTTGGCTCCGTACCCTGTAAAATTATTCACAGCTTAAAAGAAAAGAAACTACAAAAACAGGCTCTTCAGATTCATTATTAACCATTCAAATGAAATCCATTTTCCCTTTTCATCCCAGACTGAAAGACCACAGCCACCACAAAAAGCCACCAGAGTGAAGAGATGTTACAGGTCCAGGATCTCTGTTACAAAAGAAACCCATTTTAGGAGCCATCCAATCTGGCTTCCATCGAAGCTCTGACTCACTATAGATTTTGGCCATGCAGAAACTCTTGATCAAAGTTTGGATGAATGTGACCAAATGAAGGATTTTCTCCACTGAAGGGCTGGTAGAGATCTAGCACTGAGGTCCCCAAAGCAGGGGTGCTTCTGCAGAGGACTTGATTATTTTCACCACATTGCAAAACCAGCCTCGACTAAATTGATCCAGAACACCCCCACCGTTCAAATCAATCACGCAATCAAGTGTGGCTACTGCACTTACATAAAGTAGGATTTTGGTAAGAAGTAAGGGCTTCTATGATGCGTTTTAGAGAAGGGTTACAATTGGAACTGACTCCTTATCAATGGGGATTTGTCGGTTTCAGTCCATTTCCAGCTCAGTTGTAAGTGCACTGTAATACTGAGCAACACAGCTTCTGACCTCCCTTCCTCCTCTGGAGGTGCCTGGGGCACTGACTCGTTTCTACAGATTTTCTAAAAATGGATCCAAGACAGCCATCACATTTTAAAAATCTGCCTCCATCTTCCTGTGCATTGGAGTCGAGTTTGGCATTCCGTTTGTTCCCTGTGGTTTTTCAATGCAGGCATGCCACTAAGTAACTACTGAGAACAGAATACTTTGTTCCTAAATGTGTTTCTTTGAATTGTCAGTATGTAGGCTAGTAGCTCATGGAACAGCCAGAACATGAGCCAACAACGGCGCTGGAGAAAATCCCTACCCTGCCGCTCTCCCCGCCACCCATGAAGCCATAACCTCCCGGCTGGCGAGGGTGAGCCTCAGCCGGGAAGTCTGTCTCCAGTGTCCTCCTCCTTCCCAATAGCATGTCTGGGTGCCCAGGACCTCCCAAAGTGTCACCTCGCTGGGAGTCTGTTCCCAGCAGAACTCTGTACCTCAGACCTTCCTTGTCACCTCCCCCTGGTCAAAATAAACCTCATTCATTCAGCCCAGTTTTCTAAGCTAATGTACCAAATGGCTGGGTGGCCTTGCCCAGAAAATACATTTGCATCTTAATCAAGCACCAGGGCATCTTCATGATGCAATGCCTTGATCAGAGGGAGCCACATAGTCGATGACAAAATGACGACACTCTCGGCAGCGGGTCTATTAGTGGAGATGGGTGGGGGCTGGCACACCTGTCAGAAATGCTCACCAATGCCACCTGAGGGCCCCTAACATGGCTTCTTTTTGGAGAAGTGACCGGTGTATCAACGGGGACAGTGCCCCACTACTCTCTCGCCATCACTCTTGGTCACCAGTCCCCAAATGTGGGCCTCAGATGAACTCAGTAACTGAGGCCTGGGATGTATAGCGTGTGACCTCTGCTCATCCTGGGGCCCGAGGACGTTTTGAAAGCTACTTTGATTTGGGGACAAGAGTTAGGGTTTGCAGCCTGAGTTGAGAGCCCTTTAAAGGATTTGGTTTACTCTTTCCCAAAAGGTCTCCAGAAATGGTCGGTTTTCTACAGGTCTCTTTTAGTTCAAAAAAGGCTTCCCCCAAGTACGTCCTTGCACGGATACCATTCAACCATTACCACCTGGGGAAAGGACTATTTTCCAGAGAAGCTACAAGTCTTGTTAGGCTACGCCCACCTGAAGCCAATTCAGTCTAACATTCGGTCATTCAGTGAGTGAAAAAGACTCAGATCAATGGCTTAGTGTAGCCTAGACACCAGCCTACCTTAAAATAAACAAATAAGCATGTATACCTACATATAGATGTATTAGATACACATCATAATAATATATGTGAACATTATAAAATATGCACAAATATTAGAGGTTTGGAATTGAGATGTCTAAATATATATAACATGCTTAGATATTTTCCCTCAGCCTCGCTGATCATTTCTGCACTCACTGGGCTACATGCACCACCCTTTGGACGCTGAGAATCCAGGAAAACATCTGATGTGAAGGTGATCTGTTCAATTTGTGCCCATTATTTTGGAGACTGGATATGACAGGCAACATGTGAACTTCTGCTGTTGAAGGATGTGGTATGACTGAAGCCTTCCTTCCCTCCAAGGAAAAGTGGATAGCGGGCCCACGCTTAGGAGATGGAGTTCTAACTGCCAGATGGATTGAAACCACATTGTTTATTTTGTTCACTTGCTAATTGACTGCCCCTCCCACTAGAACCTGGGCTCCGCCAGGTGGGGGATTTTCCCCCACTCGCTGGCCTGTCTCCAACACTTGGATTCCTGCTTACAACAGAGAAGATATCAATCAAAATGAAAGGGTTGAATTTAGCCAGTTTCATTTTGTGTCTAAAATGGGCCAGTGGCTTATTATCTATACAGCTAGTTCAGTTTTAGTAGTCAGTAAATTTTAAAAAACACAGCTCAGTTATAACAGCTCTTCCATACTTCTTAGGCCTTTTTTTTCTTTTTCTTTTTGTCTAAAAGAACTTATTTAAAACATAACATAACCAATATACTTTAATGATTTTTAAGAGCAAATCTCTTCATGTTTTATATGCTTGCTGATAAATCTTGATAAAATCAGAGCCAACTAGATGGATATAGTTAACTTAAGATCTTATACTTGTTATTCTTTCATGGTTACCACACTGTAATACCAAATCAACCTGAATTACTAATTACTGTAAAACAGTTGTAGAGCTCTTTTACAGAAGTGGTGATCATTTACACTGATGCATTGCCCTTATACTCTAAAGTTTAGACTCAAAGGTTTGAAAATTGCGGGGGCCAGGGGGAGCTATGAGGGAGAAGAGGCAGAGAAGGGGAAGCTGTTTTTACTGAAACAGAAAGCCAGACTGAGTTATGGGTTATCTATTAGCATTTGGAGCCAAGACGTGAGAGAGTCTCGCTCTTCAGAAGCTCCCACTTACTTTTATTGCAGTGTCTTCCATGCCAGCCTTCTTGACACTGGCATTTGTTGGGTTCATGGCAAGTTCCATGTGTACCGCAGCCAGGCTCACAGACAGCTAGAATCAGAGGAGATAAAAAAGAATGCTTCCTGAGCTTTCATTGTTCTACAGAACTACACAGCTGCTTTTCTTGTACTTTTTTTTGTGTTTGAATTTTTTAAATTTATTTTTGAGAGAGACAGAGAAAAAGAGCGCCAACAAGGGAGGGGCGGAGAGAGGGAGACACGGAATCTGAAGCAGGTTCCGAGCTGTCAGTCACAGAGCTCGATGCAAGGCTCAAACCCATGCGCCACGAGATCACGAAGTGTAATCATGACCTGAGCCGAAGTCAGACACTTAACCGACTGAGCCACCCAGGCGCCCCTCTTGTAGTTCCTTAGAATGTGTTAGTTAGGGCTTCATCCCCTGTTGTTGTTGTTTTTCCTAAGCCAATCTCCAGCTCTAAGTCAGTCTGGGACTTTTTGAAACAGTCCTACAGCGCCTGGGTGTCTCAGTTGGTTGAACCTCTGATTCTTGATTTTGGCTTGGGTCATGATCTCACAGTCCTGGGATCGAGCCCCATGCTGGGGTCCATACTGAGCATAGAGCCTGCTTAAGATTCTCTCTCTCTCTCTCTCTCTCTCTGTCTCTACCCTTTCCCCAGGCTCACACACGCATGCTTTATCGCTCTCTAAAATAAAAAATAAATAAATAAAGTAAAAAAATAAAGTCCTGGGGCGCCTGGGTGGCTCAGTTGCTTAAGCCTACGACTTCGGCTCAGGTCATGAGTACACGGTTCATGGGTTCGAGCCCCGCATTGGGCTCTGTGCCGACGGCTAGCTCAGAGCCTGGAGCCTGTTTCAGATTCTGTGTCTCCCTCTCTTTCTGACCCTCCTCTGCTCATGCTCTCTTTCTCTCTCTTAGAAATAAATAAAACATTTAAAAAATTTTTTTAAAAAGCCCTGGGAGAGATCTTAAACTAAGCTTGATGTTTCTCATTCACAACAGATGCTCAGTAGGACTTTGAACACTGCTAGAATGGAAGTTTTGTTTCCTTAAGAAAACTCTAAATAGTTAAAAAGTTCAGTTCCTTGTGTGTGAATGCTTCTGATTTTTTACACGCCTGGATTCCATACAGTGTTTTTGTTCCAGATAAAGGGGACCTACAGATCAGTTAAGAAAGGCTCATTGTAACGCCGAGGCAACATGCACTGGGCACAGAAGTTATGTAGGAGGAAACCCCCCAAGCCAGGCTGATTATGTGTATGGGTACTTACGCTTTGAACAGAGGTCTCCTTGGTAACCTTTGGAGCACTTACATTTGCTTTTACCAATGCATTTACCTCCATTTCGACAGGGTTGTGGGCATTTACCTGAAACAGAGAAGGATGCAAATAGGCAACGAACTCAATGCATCACTCAGAGGTCATCACATTTTTCAAAGGAACTGCAGGGCTTTAAGAAGATAACTGCTTTTTAATTTTTTTTAATGTTTATTTGTTTTTGAGAAGCAGAGAGAGACAGAGCACAAGCAAGGGAGGGGCAGAGAGAGAAGGAGACACAGAATCAGAAGCAGGCTCCAGACTCTGAGCTGTCAGCCCAGTGCCCGACGCGGGCCCAAACGCACGGACTATGAGATCATGACCTGAGCCGAAGTCGGACACTAAACCGACTGAGCCACTTAGGCACCCCGATAACTGCTTTTTAAATGGCAGCTATTTCCACTTATTTCAGATCTACTCTGGCTTTGAGACTGAGTTTCTTTTTTGGAACAAACAGGCTAGTGTTCTTACTTAGGATTTCTAACCTATATCTTCTACAATAAATGTGTTGCCCACATTTATACTTATATAAATGTATTTATATTACTTTTTAATACACAGAATAACTTCTGATTCATAGACACTTGTCATTTAAGACAGAGGAAAAGTTAAGATATCAATTAACCTCGAAATGATCTTTTCTCGGAGTTCAGACTTTGAATGTGGCTCTTTCTGCAAGCAGGCCTACACCTCTTCCTGGCAGGATCTTGCTGGGCCTACGATTCCCCAGAGAGCAGGGCTTGCAGCAGAGAGTGTTTTTGGTGAAATGATCCCAGGAAACCGGGATGGGGGCACAGGGAGAGTGAAAAATGAAAGGAGGGTAAGCTGACCCCAACGTATATTTGTGGGCTGGCCATCTCTGCTGCTCTATCCTGCTGGGTCCTTCTGAGGAACTGTGGAGACTGTACCCTCAAGCCACTTGTAAGAAGGGAGAGGGGAGCTCATTGTCTCCCACTGGCCTAGGGTCACCCTATGGGAGAGCTTCTTCACACTTCCAATTTGCCACTATATGAGCACAGACTAGTTTTTTAGGACTCAGAGGAGTCTCTGGGTAGAAAGCAGCAGAGGTGTCGAGCAGCTAAGATGAGGTATAACCTGAGGTGCCTGGGTGGCTCAGTCAGTTAAGCATCCGACTCTGGATTTTGGCTCAGGTCGGGATCTCAAAGTTTGTGAGTTCGAGCCCTGTGTTGGGCTCCACACTGACAGCATGGAGACTGCTTGGGATTCTCTCTCTCTCGCTCTCTCTGCCCCTCCCCTGCTCTTTCTCTCAAAATAAATAAAATAAACTTAAAAAAAAAGGTGAGGTGCAATCAGGTTATGCCTGTGCAAAACAGGTTGCCATGGCAGTGACTAGAGTAAAAGGCTGGCTGGGAACGATATGAGACAGGCCACCAAAGGCGCCCAATACCACACCTGTGCATTTTTCTGGAATGTCTTAGATCCTAAGGATGCATCATTCTTTCTTTGATCTCGCCACCAAATGAGAATTGCTAATGTTTTCATAGCTCTTTAGAATACAGGATTTTAGAGCTGAGATAGGGCCTCAGATGCAAAAATTACATAATGATCATCTTCTTTCTTACTCTGGAAGCTATTTATTCTCCCTCTGCAATCTAGAATTTGCCATCCTAAGGCTGAATGTTTTGAAGAAGTAGAAGGAAAAGGATTGTTCATCCAGAGCCGAGACCACATCTGTGACCAGCTTAATGATGTTCCAAAGAGAGCAAACAGCCATTAGATTTGGGTAGTGGGGCAGTTTGGTTTTTTTTTTTATTGCTGTTCTTTTTATTTTCTACATTTTAGCAGAATATCCATTACAAAAGCCTCAGCACATAAAGAGAAGAAATGAAACCTTTACCCTAGAATAACACACCTTTTATTCTCTAAACTGTTCTTTTTATGGTCAAATGAAGCTTTGAAAGAAGTGAGCTATTTTATGCCTTACCGGTAAGCACTGTTTGATAAACATGAATTCCATATGCAAATTATTTTGCTTCTCTTTTTACTTATCCAAAAGGACCTTCTTCATATATAAATTGATCAAAGCAGCATTTAGTGGAGACAATATAGACATAATATTGATATGTTAGAGCCTCTCAAAAACCTGGAATGCCATTATACAGGTTTTTCTGATGCAGGGATGGTCTAGAAACAGGCATTAAAATAATCTTAATATAGAATACCACCTTTTCATTGACCATTAAAAATATAAAGGGTCCTTTATGCTAGGTTTGAATACAAAGAATAGCATTTACTATTTACAAGATCCCAACTCTTACCTAAAGGAAAGGAATACTTAACTCTGAATTTTTGTTTGTATCAATGAAGTGTCCGACCCCATCATATGCACAAAATTGGATCATATCACAGTACCCTGTCATGCACTAGGATTTTTCAAATAAACAAGATGTGGGGCAATAATTTTATGGCAGAAAAAATAGTGCTTATTATGAAATATTTGGCAAGCCCAAATTTCCCCACGTTCAATGAAAGGTGAGTTTGGTAGACAGGGATATCACAGAGAATGATTGGCAGAGAGAAACTTTTCATTGACTCCATGGGTACTTTTGTTTTCTTGATCAGAGGGAAGGGAGTGGTCCTCAAGTTCACCACTGCCAGGAATAAGGACACTCTCTCCTGCTTATCACACAGTAGAAATGTGACTGCAGGTGGCTCTCTGAAGGCCATTCCAAATCAAATCCTACGAAGCCAAATCTTATGAACCTCATGAAGGTGTGATTGTTCTAAAATTCAGAGTCCTATAAGTGTCTTTAATATTGACTTCCTTTCCCTGAAAGTATTTTGCAACACATTCTATCCATTAGACAGTGGGAAAGTGAGTCAGCTTGAAAGATGGCACATTTTTACCTAAAACAGACTAAGCATTGCCTGAAGACAAACAGATCTGACTGTTGAATCAGTTAGCATTCTTATTATAACCAGTGGATAAATCCAGTGAGAACAATGAGGTAGGGATTGACAAAATTAGGACATTAAACTTCCTCTGCCTATCAAATTGCGGGATAATTTAAAATTGGGACTCTGCCACAAATGTATGGCCAACTCATCTTTGACAAAGCGGGAAAGAGTATCCAATGGAAAAAAAGACAGCCTCTTTAACAGATGGTGCTGGGAAAACTGGACAGCAACATGCAAAAGAATGAAACTAGATCATTTTCTCACACTGTACACAAATATAAACTCAAAATGGATAAAGGACCTGAATGTGAGACAGAAAACCATCAAAACCCTAGAAGAGAAAGCAGGAAACAACCTCCTTGACCTCAACCACAGCAATTTCTTACTTGACCCACATCCCCAAAGGCAAGGGAATCAAGAGCAAAAATGAACTATTGGGACCTAATCAAGATAAAAAGCTTCTGCATGGCAAAGGAAACAACCAATAAAACTAATAGACGACTGATGGAATGGGAAAAGATAGTTACAAATGACGTATCAGATAAAGGGCTAGTATCCAGAATCTATAAGGAACTCCTCAAACTCCACACCCGAAAAACAAATAATCCAGTGAAGAAATGGGCAGAAGACATGAACAGACACTTCTCCAAAGAGGACATCCAGATGGCCAACAGACACATGAAACGATGCTCAGCGTCCCTCACCATCAGGGAAATACAAATCAAAACCACACTGAGATACCACCTCATGCCAGTCAGAGTGGCTAAAATGAACAAATCAGGAGACTACAGATGCTGGTGAGGATGTGGAGAAATGGGCACCCTCCTACACTGTTGGTGGGAATGTAAACTGGTGCAGCCCCTCTTGAAAACAGTGTGGAAGCTCCTCAAAAAATTAGAACTCCCCTATGACCCAGCAAGAGCACTGCTAGGAATTTACCCAAGGGATACAGAAATGCTGATGCATAGGGGCACATGTACCCCAATGTTCACAGCAGCACTCTCCACAATAGCCAAAACATGGAAAGAGCCTAAGTGTCCATCAACTGACGAATGGATCAAGAAGATGTGGTTTATCTATACAATGGAATACTACATGGCAATGAGAAAGAATGAAATCTGGCCATGTGTAGCAACATGGATGGACCTTGAGGGTGTTATGCTGAGCGAAATAAGTCAGGCAGAGAAGGACAGATACCATATGTGTGCACGTATAGGTGGATTAAGAGGAACTTAATGGAGGACCATGGGGGAGGAGAAGGGGAAAAATAGTGGGGGAGAGGGAAGGAGGCAAACCATGAGAGACTCTTGAATGCTGAGAAGAAACTGAGGGCTGATGGGGGTGGGAGAGAGGGGAAGGGGGGTGATGGGCATGGAGGAGGGCACTTGTTGGGATGAGCACTGGGTGTTATATGGAAACCAACTTGACAATAAACTATTTAAGAAAAAAAATAATATAAAATTGGGGCTCTCCTTCATGTAGATTAAAATGGTTTACAATAAGTGTCAACTATCATCACTGGGTCTTAGGATTATGGGTGATTTTTAATTATTTTATTCAGTATTCTAAATTTTTTATAAGGAAAATTTTATATAGAGGATTTTTATGATAATAAGAACCCATTAGATTATTTTAAAAGCCCATTTATGATACAGTATAAATAATTCATGTAAACTCTTTAACTGAAAGTTCACTGAAGATTCTTGGGATATCTATGAACCTTAAATAACAAGATAAATGTATACTGTGTACATCCAGATATTCCTAATCATGATGTTATTTGCTAATTGGCAAGAGTATCTCAAATTAAGTCAAAGTGAAGTTTGAGAAGATATCAGTCCTGACAAAGGCCAGGAGAAATGAAATTATAAATTACATCACAATTATATATATATAATGGAAATAATGATACATGCCACAACATGGATGAAGCTCAAAAACATCATGCTAAGCTAACTGAAATAAGTCAGACACAAAAGAACATATATTGTGTGATTCTATTATATGAAATGTCCAGAGTAGGCAAATCTCCAGAGACAGAAACTAGACCAGTAGCTTCCAGTCTTGGGGAAAGGGGAATGAGGAGTCACTGCTCATGGGTACCGGGTTTCTTTTGCGGGTGATGACATATCGTGGAATGAGACATAAGTGATGCTGTACAATTTCATGAATATACTGAAATGCATATTTTTAAATGGTGAACTCTATGGTATGTGAATTATATCTCAACTTAAAAATAAGAACTCATAATAAACTCTTTGTCTCTACTATACTAATAGAAGCACTTATCAACTCAAGACTTATTTCTACATTTTCTTAGTTCTTGTAATAGAAACAGGACATTTCCTAGAAGGATTTGAGTATAACTTGTGATAGGGATAATCAGGAGCTTTCAAAGACCTACCTTTTGGGTGCAGTTAGGGAAAACAACAGTAATAAAAATCATTGTCTTTACCAACGGAAAGGTCATAAACCAAGGACATGAAAGGGCATACTTACATAAAAAGAAATGAGCCCATGAACAAAGATTCATAAATATGGTCTAACTAAGTATGAGAAGTCTGAGAGGAAATATAGAGAAAGAAACTAATGGGAGTTAGTTCAGAGATATCTTTATCAGGGCAGAGTCATTAATAAGAACAGAAATCATATCCTCACAATTAATGACATATTCTATGGAAACTTCAGAGGTATTGCATTTGAACTCTATAAAAAAATGGTTACTTGATCTAGTACTCATTGAAGTACCAAAACTCACAAATCAATTAGAGGTCGAAAGTCAACATTGGAAGTCAATAGTATTTAATTTTGAGCCTACTACTACTTCAGCAACCATGGTTGGAACAAGCCAGCAGTATTTTACAGATATGCTACAGCTGGAAATGAAAATGCCATATTCCAGAGCTCCCAGGAAAGCAGGGACATGGCACCCTGAGCAGACACGCTCACATTCCTCTTGCTCCTTCCTGAATCGAGTGCTAGTGTTATTACCTCTTTTCTGGATCCTAAAGCAATCTAGGGTGTGGGTGGCTCTCTTCTGAGTTTCAGAGAGCTTCGGTGATTGCTGAGGGTTACCAGGCCTGCAGGGGGCAGAGCCAGGAGGCTAAGCAGATTGATATCCTGATTCTGAAAACAATGATTATCCACCACATTCCACCCTTACATTTTTCTTTCTTTGTACCGAAGCATGACAAACATATAGTGAAGCCATAGCTGCATTGATCTAAAGGTTACAGCTCAACTACTTTTTTCTACATAAATAAACACTCATGTGATACTTCATCAGTCAAGATATAGAGCATTTTTGGCAGGCTATAAAGTTCCTGTCTGCCCCCGAGCACTATCCTGGTTGCTACTATCGTCCATTACTTTGGCCCGTTCTTAAACTTCATAAAAATGGAATCGTGCAGTATGCACTTTTTTGTATCTAGTTCCTTTACTTAACATCGGTGCGATTCATTCCCGTTGTGTGTGCTATTACTTGTTTTTATTGCTGTGCACCCTTTTCCCCTTTGTCTTGAACCTATCGTTTTCTCTTAGCTGGGTTACTAGACTCCATGTAATTCAGGAAATGTGGCAGTGACTGGCAGGGAAGAAACTCTATGCCTGCAGGTAGATGAACACATCCACCTGTCCCAAAGCTCTGGTCTACACCTCTAGGCTGAAACTATGGCTCTGCACCATGAGAAGGGGACAGACTCACTAACGAGAAGCAATGCAACATGCCGAACAACCCAAACCCAGATGACACTGAGTCAGAGTGTTTGCTGTGAGTCATCTGAGCTGAGCAATGGCACCCTTTGCCCACGCTCCCCACCTTTAGTCAAAACAAATGGTGGCGCAATCTAGTGAGAAGGAACCACTGGCTTGAGACCTTAGATAAGCTCTTCATTGTCTCGCCTCACTGATGAACTGAGGGTTCGGTGGGGTTTTGAAGCTCCCCCCAGAAACGAAGAGAATGCAGAAGGTCAATACTCACTTATTTCACACTGTTCCCCCTCTAGTCCTGGAGGGCAAATACACTTTCCAGGGTAGAAACAGGTTCCTCCATTAAAGCAGGTAGTTGAGCAGTTTGCTATTAGAATGGATAACAGGGTATTGCATTAGACAGTAGGCTAAATCTAAAAAACAAAAAACAAAAACAAAACCCAACTTCACTTAAGATCAGGTGATACTTCTGGGACACCTGCTTTTTTTTTTTTTTTTTACATAAACACTCATGTGATACTTCATCAATCAAGATATAGAGCGTTTTTTACTTATTTAGTCAAGGAAGCTGCTTTGCAAATGCAAGAATTGTAACCAATTGCTGACCCATTTGCAGATTCCAACAACATAATAGGAGAGCACACACATTATATATGATCCTCCCCCAGGGGCTTATATCTTGGAGAAAAAAAGGCATGGTGTGTAAAATTTTTAAAAATTATCTTCATTATTTTCTTTTAAATATCTAAGCCCTTAAGAAAAAGAACACTGTAAACTCCCCAAAGTATTTTTTTAAGCTAAAAGAGGGAAAAAGGAGAAAACTTACTTTGGAATAGATAAAAGGGACAGAGGCCGTTAAGTACTAGGATCTGGCCAGAAAAAGAAAGCAACTTTTTTTTCTTCTCAGAATGAGAACAGAGATTCATCTTATATAATAGGGATTTTAAAAAATAATTAACTTGTATGACATTTGGAGGAAGGAGTCCTGGTACTCGGGAAAGGACTGACTGTCAGTCCTCGTGAGCCCCCATAGGTCAGCGAGTGGCAGCACTCAGTTGGATAGATTATCGTGGGCGTCCAAATAACAAGGTTTTCCAGGTAAAAATCAAACTGTGATTCATCCTAAACCCTCTCTTCGTGGAAACGTCTGGAATTTCACTGCTCACTGGCACCTAAAATAGAGGGAAGGCAGAAATGGGGACGAGGGGAGAACAAGTATCTAAAATTAGACACGCTGGCTCATTCTATAAAGGACATTAGAATGAGGGCTTGGATTCTCAGCAATTCCAGTTATATGGCCAATTTGTTCTTGTCCTATATGGAACAGGCCAAAGTTGGCTATAGATGAAAAAAGCTGAAGGAAGCTTCCAGTAGGAAAATCAGAAAAAAGATCCAAAAGTTATTGTGTATGCTTTCTCTGTGGAAAAGAAAGCCAATCAGCATGTTACTGCAAATATCACGCTTCTTAAAGGAAAAGCTTTTTGTTTAAAATTGTAAGTATCTCCCATCTTAAGGCAATGCAGCCCTCGCTTTGGCAAAATCCAGCCTCCTGATGCATGAGGAAGCAGCAGCATTTGGGTACAGAATTTAGGATTCAGGACAACTGGCTCTTTCGGCTTCCTCCTTGCTACTAGTATTGTTAGGTTTGCAAGCATGACTCTTCCCACTTGTCCCTGTTTTTCCTGGGGAACTAACAAGGGAAGAGAAAAACATCAGGATGAGGGTCTGCTTGGCCAGAGCCCACTGGGCACTATCTCTTACTAACAAATAGAATGCAATGAACCTGAGAGCTTAATTAGAAGTTATGGGATAATGACAAAGCTAGTTAAAGAATTTGGCCACACCCTTAGTATTTGCGTGATATTTTACAAGCTTCTCTACATCTCTGCCGTGCCATGATTCTTGACTAGGAAAAGGAACCAGAGACACCAGGTAACTTTCACTGGGGCTGAGGGTATGCTGGACCAGTGCTTGACTACTCATTTCCTAAAGTCTGCAACAGATGTCCCGAGAGCGAATGAAAGTTAGTCTATACTGTTTCTTCAGCGACGTTGTGCTAAGGTCCAGCTCCATGCCAATAATTAAACCGTTTTTCAGAAGCTCTATACTCCCTCCTAGATGATAAATACATCTTTTTGTTGAGGTAGTAAAAACCATTATTTTTTAATATTCCCCGATCTCCAAGTGAGACCAAGTGGAATTTCAACAGACTTTCCAAAAAAAAATAATAAAAATTAAAAAGAAAATTACCAGAGTCTAACAAGTAGGGAAAATCTTTCATCTGAAGGGTAAAATATTACAAAACATGAGACAGATTGGAATACACATATTTTCCTTTAACAGTGACCACGCAGTGTTTGTGACTCCGTAGCATCAGAAAAACACCGTAGCTGATTCTCTGTTGTCCAAACTACAGCACCAGCAGCCACACCTAAGTAAGCAGGCCTCCCAAACGGTGACCTTAAACCTGTTCATACATGAGTTCTTTGTCCAAATCTCTGAAGGATTTGCTCTATTTCCCAATCATTTTGTCATAATAGGAATTTAATTCTGCTGTAAGAATTGCTCAATTTTGAAATAGCTGAGATGCTGAATGCTAAATGTAGACACATAAAAAATTTTTTTCACTAACTGGCTGTTCTTATATTATTGGCGCTTAATTTTTGTGAATACAAACTTTAAAATAGCATTAAATCCAATACTCCAGTTTTGGATCACTTAAAACTAAAAGGCAGAGATAGTCTCACATGTTATCTCAATTTGCTTGCGGTCGGGAGACCAGGGACAAGGTTTAATTCCATTTTATTTTTTTTTATTTTTTTTTATTTTTTATATTTTTTTTATTTATTTCTAGGAGAGAGAGAGACAGCATGAGCAGGGAGGGTCAGAGAGAGAGGGAGATACAGACTCTGAAACAGGCTCCAGGCTCTGAGCTGGCAATCAGCACAGAGCCTGACGCGGGGCTCGAACCCACAAACCGTGAGATCATGACCTAAGCGAAAGTCGGACACTTAACCGACTAAGCCACCCAGGCGCCCCTAATTCCATTTTAGAGATGGGAAAAGTATGACCCACGGAGAGATCACATTATCAGCCCAGACACAGAGATACTTGTGGAGGAATAGGGACCTCAAGGAGGTAGCCTGAGTGATGGATATGGTACAAGAGGAGATGAGAGTTTGGGCCAAGCGACTAAAGCTCTGTAAACCTCATTTTGCTTATCTGAGAACGAAAAGTTCCACATCTCAAAAGGCTGTTGAGGGTAAGGTAAGTTATTATGCTGACTCATGCTGAGGAATTCTTCCTTTAGCTTTTCCTTCTTTTTGAAAAGCTGTTTATTTCTATTTTTTTAAATGTTCATTTATTTCTGAGAGAGAGAGAGAGAATGAGTGTGAGTGGGGGTGGGGGTGGGGGTTACAGCAGAGAGGCTGATGCAGGGCTGGAGCTCAGGAACCATGAGATCATGACCTGAGCCCAAGTTGGAAGCTTAGTTGACTGAGCCACCCAGGCGCCCCTGGTCATTTCCATCTTAATTGGTGCTAACTGCATTAGCACTCAAGAGATACTTCTCCAAAAAAGCACATCTTTTTATTTCATGGCGTATATATATTTTGAAAAACAGCACTCTGAGGCTCATGCAATTAGCATTTTTGACACAAGTATAATTTCATTACATACACTTTGTATAATATTATTTAATTTTTTTCTCATAAAAGATGTGAACCGGGCAAAACAGACATCTCGTAACATGTATGGATCATTCAATATTTTAGAGCCAGGTTTGAACCCACTTTATGAGAGAAAAACTGGCGATGATGCTGCATCATAGGAAGAGTGGAAACCATCTCTCAGGGATGTCATCTGTGAGCAGATCCTTAAATTGGGGGGTCAGTGAACTTCTAGGTCAGGAAATGGGGAGCAGGTGGTTTCATTTCAGTCTTAGAAGCTCACCCATAAAACTTATTTAAACATCAAACCCCCTGTGGCAGAGAACGCTACGTGTTCACAACACCCACGCTCCTCTCCTACAAAGTCGTCTGTAAGACAGCTGTCCAGCCAGGGATGACATATCTCCAGGCTGAGTCCGGGACCAGCCCTGAGGCAGGGCCATGAGGGCTCCTTCCTCTCCATGGGAGAGGTGTGAAGGTTTTGTGGATCACTTCTGGGACAGAGCTTGTTTGTTTGTTTGTTTGTTTTAAAGCAGCGTCTACTCGAGTCTCCTTTGCTGCTCATGGGCTGGTTCCAGAGAGCTCCAGAGCTGGAGGGAAGACCACCGGTGTCAGGTATCTGGGCCCCAAAATCCCAGCATGGAGAAGGGCTCCCTGTACTGGAGCATTCTGTGAGTGAAGACAAACTTCTACTGTGTTGAGCTACACTAAAATTTGGGGTTGAATTTGTTATAGAAGCCAATGAAGTGTTATACCCTATTTACAGAGCTATTATGTAGAGTAATAATATATTAAGTATATTTCTTTTAACTATACATTTAGAAAGTAAAAAGAACCTAGTTCTTAAAAAGAAACTGTTACCTTTATCACAATTGACTCCATAGAATTCAGGTGGGCAGATGCAGAACCCGGGAGTGACACAGAGGCCGCCGTTCATACACCGTGGCATGCAAAGGGCTAACAGAGAGAGAGCTCCAATTAAGGTCAAGTGGGGTTTTGAGAAGGGCCATTTTGGAAATATCAATAATAAAACAGCTCTATATTTTAAAAACTTTATTTGAGAGAGAGAGAGAGAGAGAGAGAGAGACAGAGTGTGTGTGTGTGTGTGTGTGAGAGAGAGAGAGAGAGAGAGAGAGGGAGAGAGAATCTTAAGCAGACTCTATGCTCAGCACGGAGCCTGATGTGGGGCTCAGTCCCACAACCCTGGGATCAAACTTGAGCTGAAATCAAGAGTTGGACACTCAACCAACTGAGCCACCCAGGCGCCCCACAGGTTTGCTATATTAAGCATTGTTTATGTGTTGTAAATCAGGTGTTTTTTGTTTTTGTTTTTGGGTTGTTGTTGTGTGTGTGTGTGTGTGTTTACCAGTTAATAGATGAGAATTTTAGAATTGTTCCATTTCAATGCCTGATTAAAATTTGTCTGGAATCATTACTTTGACTAAGAGGTAGCCTTCTTAAAACTGTAAATATTTTCCCTGCCCTATTTCCTAGATCTTCTAATTCCAAAATACATGCAAACAGGAGCAATTCTTATGTCTTAAAGATGAAAAATACTTTTCTTACTCTCATCAAATAAACTCTTAGTATTTAAGCATCCTATGGTTAAAACAATTTTCTTGTTTAACTCTTTCATATAATAGTAATTTTGCTGAGATAGACTTATTTACAATACAAGTGCTTTTCACTTTTTTTTTTGTCTTAGAGTAACTTCATAACTCACGTATACACTGAATTATGAGTCAAACTACTTTTTATTGCAGTACACACTGTCAAATCAATCATTATATTAGCCTGTTAAACCCAGTTTAAGTGGAGGAGAAACTTCATTAAGTTTATACCAAAGCATAATGTATATGATAGTGAATTAGGGATTGGGGGTGGGGGAGAAATGGCCACAAAGAATGTAGACACTGTGCTAAAATCCTCTGCCCCGTCACCATACATTGGATTTAACAGAAAACCACTCCTAGAAGTACTTTCCAATTGCTCTTCTGTGGCTTTTTAAGATTTTACCAATCCTTATGATATGACCAGAAAAGTAATTTCAGTTTTTCTGAATATGCTAAAAAAGCAAATGTGGGGCTCTGGTGTGACGTCCATTTCATTAGGAAGCAAGTGAGGTCAGTTGGGCTCTCTCCTTTCCGTACCTTTCTCACAGTGAGGGCCATAGAATCCTTCAGGACACTCGCAGATGCGCCTTTCATTACAAAAGCCTCCATTTCGGCACCCTCCTGGGCATTCGGCTTCACCAAAGAGAAACAAAGTTATACGCCTTTGAAACCGTGTTGGGGGAATTACTGCTAGCGTGAAGAGGTTGGTGCTGACCTTTCCCCTCTGGGCACTGATTATCATAATTTACTGAACACCCGATACCTGGTACCTCATTCTCTCTATACTACTTGTTCTTCACTAAATCCTCATCAAAATAAGATTTTGCTTCTCTCAATCCCAATGCCAACAGCAGGGGGCTCATGGAAGAAGGTAAAGCAAGCATTATTCTTCCTTCTTCCCCACCTATCTATCTCCTGTACCTTCTTAGATTCACCCTGAAATAAACTGAATGGAATTGCCCACAGTATTCACTTTTAGAGGGTGGAATGACCTTTTGGAACATCTTTATCTTTATTTATTTGTTTTTAAAGCATGCTTTGCACCCAGCATGGAGCCCAACGTGGGGCTTGAACTCACAACCCTGAGATCAAGACCTGAGCTGAGATTAAGAGTTGGACGCTTAACCAACTGAGCCACCCAGGCACCCCTTGGTGCGTCTTGAGTACTGAAAGCCTCTAGAGCTTAAATTCTTTGCTGGAAAAGCTTGTATCACGATGGGGAAAAAATCTAGGCCTTCATGCTTAAATGGGCATCAAGGTGAGGTGCCTATGCCTGGCAGAGATTGCTGGTATGACGGTGGCACTCTGTGCTCCGGAGAGGTTAGTCGCACCAAGCCTGCGGTGGTGGTACGAATGGTATTGCCTTGACGGGCAGTAGTTGCTGGTAATAACTGGTGATCTTGGTATGAGGCTGGAGACTCCCAAAGCTTGTGTTGGAGGAGGGGAAGGAGAGAGGTAGAAGGGAGGAGTTTTGAAAGGTTACTGGGGTTCCTAAAATTGTGAGTGGAGTCATAGCAGGGAAAGTCTGTCTTAGTACCATATGGGTCCTGTGGTTACCAGCCACTCCTCCCATAGGTGTGATTATAATTATACCAAAAATTTACCTTTTCTTTCTTCCTTCCTCCCTTCTCTTTCTTTCTTTCTTTCTTTCTTGTCTCCCTCCCTTCCTTCCTTCCTTCCTTCCTTCCTTCCTTCCTTCCTTCCTTCCTTCCTTCCTTTCCACATCACACCTGGAAGCTTTATGAGCCTTCTCTTGATGGTGATCACTGATTACCTTGTTGACACGTTTTAAAGAAGATTGCATTTTGAGGCGTCTGTAGGATGGTGTTGCCTTCAGAATTCATTACAATCACATTCACTTCAAAAGCTGCCACTCCATCTTGTTTTCCAAGGCACGGGAAACCAACTTGAACAACTAAAGAAAAAGCACGTATAGAGAAACAGTTTATCTGGTTGATTTCACTTGTATAGAAATCTTGGTAAGAGAGACAAAGAACAAAACAAAAATATTCATATTTCATTCTTTGATATTCTTGTATCCACACCACAGCAGGGACTGTATTTGGATCATATGAGCATATTCTCCAAAGAATTTATACACCATGCTGCGTGGAGAAAGAATGAACAACTCATTAGTTTGTACCTTAGTGATATGGAATTGGGGATATTTTGTTCCTAGTCTGGGCTTGTAGTATCTTGAAAAAAAAAGATTTTCTCTAAAAATTAAAGGCAGCATACACAGATCAGTTAAGGAAAGAATCCTGGTGGGCATCTTCACCAGCCTCCATATAATCCAAAAAGAGCTTAAAACATAGTATTCTAGAATATATTAAATAAAGCCCTATATAGGCATTAGCTTCATTTTTACTCTGTGTGCTTGAAAGTGACAAAATATTTTCTTTGGAAATATCCTAGAACTCAGACTAGACTCCAGTTATTGGATTGAGTTAGTGAAGCTAGTATTTTCTCAGGCTGATATTAAGATGTGTCCATGTCGTGGGATCTAGAAGAGAGTTTGCTGTGATAAAATAATTTCGTAATAGGCTTATGTCTAATAATTTAGTTTCCTAAAAATGAGACTTTTTTTTTTTTAGTATAACGATCACTTGGGGTGTATAACATTGACTCAGCAAAAGAGTGGCGACTCGTGATGATGGTGTAAGGGCAAGGAGGACACCAATTGTGGAATGCCCACAAGTCAGTGGGTGGAAACTGGATCAAGTCATTGGCTAGAAGACTGATTACGTAAATTTCTAAAATCCACTAGATTATCATAACGTATCCACTGGACAAGAGTGATTTAGTTGATCCATTAGACTCTAGATCTTCCGTGTATATATAGGAAGAAATATTGCTAATGGTATACATTTGAAATTTTACTTCATTTTGTTTCTATGTAGCAGCTTATGTTTACTGGCAATCTTGGGGAAATCAGACCAAACCAAGAAAAAATCCTTTCCCTTTAGAGTTTTCATAAAACTTTCCCCTAGATGCATAAGAAGAAATGAGCTAGAAATTGGCTTGCTCTTCCATAAGGCATAGAATATAAGCTGGTCATATAATCTTATTAGTGTGCTTGGTAATCAAAAATCCCTCTCAAGGCTTTGGCACTGTCAGTGTTTATTACTGTGCCTTTCTCAAAATAACATGGATTCCCAGTTCTGAATCTTGAGCTCTGAGCATTGCAAAAAAATCTATTAAATGGGAAAAAGGAAATACAGACATTTTAATAGAAATAAAAAGGAAAAAACCAAATTGTGTCTGCACTTCCAAAGTAAAATGGTCTATGCTGAAAGCCTTGGTTTAGTGAAATCTTATACATGAAAATGCCAATTTACAAAACATAAAAATCCATCATAGGGATTTCCATTTCAAAAAGAAGCAAAAGAGCTGATGAATTTCTTTCAATGGTTACTCTTCCAATGTGTTTCCACTTTGTTCCATTCTAAAATTTTGGTAATCTTTCTCATGAATCTTTTACATGGATAGGTAGGTGAATAATTGCCCTGAGGCATAATCAGGTAGAAGAAACTGAAAGGATTCATAAAGATAAAACTTCTAGAATTTTCTCACCATGTCACGTCATCATCCGAACTATTATTTCCCAGGTGCATTTTTTTTTCCTGGACCTTATTAAGCCTCCACTTTGCAGCACACTTCTTTAAAAACGGCACTTCCCTTTTATTTTAGCTTTCAGAATTTTGGCATGAAAGAGAAGATGCTTGTAAGTAAATTCATCTTCATTTCTGTTTATCAGCATTGTCAAAATTCTTTTTTTAACACTTTTTTAATTAAAATTTTTTTTAATGTTTTCATTTATTTTTGAGAGAGAGAGAGAGAGAGCATGAGCTGGGGAGGGGCAGAAAGAGGGAAGGAGACACAGAATCTGAAGCAGTCTCCAGGCTTTGGCTGCCAGCCCAGAGCCCCCAGGGGCTTGAACTTGTGAACAACAAGATCATAACCTGGGCTGAAGTCAGACACTCAACTGACTGAGCCACCGAGGCACCCTATCATTGTCAAATTTCAAAACACATTTTGTATATTAAATATCAAAAATGTCTTGTTATATGTATGGAAAGTTCAGTTAAAAATAATTACTAATTACTAGTTTGCATGTATTTTCAAATGTGCTAAAAGCAAACCATTTGCAAATATGCTTACATTATGACATATTCACATGCTCCAGTCATGGGGTTGGGGGTTCTAGAAGGTCTGGAGTGCTCACATAAAAGTGTGTGATTTTCTGAGTCAATGAAAAGCAACGAGATAGGCAGCAGGTTCCCTGGCCTGTGGTCATCTTAAAACTAGGGCACAGAATAATCCCAGGAAAGAAAACCAAGGATGCCAAATCCCATAGAAGTTCAACAGGGAAAGCACAACAAAAGTAACTTCCTTTTGGGTCCTCAAGATGAATTTTTCTCTTTAAATGGTTAAATACAAATTTGAGGGGCCCCTGGGTGGCTCAGTCGGTTAAGCGTCTGATTTCGGCTCAGGTCATGATCTCACAGTCCGTGGGTTCGGGCCTCGCCTCGGGCTCTGTGCTGACAACCAGCTCAGAGCCTGGAGCCTGTTTCAGATTCTGTGTCTCCCTCTTTCTCTGACCCTCCCCTGCTCACGCTGTCCCTCTCCCTCAGAAATAAATGAAACATTAAAAAAATTTTTTAAATAAATAAATAAATACAAATTTGAGTCAAGATGCAAAGAGTTTATCCATTTAACAAATACTGAGCATCTACTAGGTCCCAGCCACTTTCCAAGCACTGGGGATACTTCAGAGAACGGGACAAATAAAACTCCCTTACGTTTCAGGGACTTGGGCTGAAGACAATTGGTGATAGTAACATTTTAATCATCTAAAAGTCTAGAAAAAGAAACACGAAACATTTAAAGCCAGAGGCACAAGTGGGAATTGAGAATAGTTTCAGTGCCTGTTTTGGCTCTGCAATGACTGGATTCTTTGGGTATCGACCTTTGTATTCTAACTTCAATTTGCCTGTAGTTTAGCCTCACAACAGGTGCATAAATGTCTTCTGGGAATATTGTTGAATGCTTAAAATAAGGATCTGGGAGAGAACTGCACTTGCTATGACCCACTGATTTAGGATGCATTTAGGGGCACCTGGGTAGCTCAGTTAAGCGTCCGACTTCGGCTCAGGTCATGATCACACGGTTTGTGGGTTCGAGCCCCATGTCGGGCTCTGTGCTGACAGCCAGCTCAGAGCCTGGAGCCTGTTTCAGATTCTGTGTCTCCCTCTCTCTCTGACCTTCACCTGCTCTGCTCGCTCTCTCTCTCTCTCTTCCAGAAATAAATAAAACATTAAAAAAATTTAGGGTGCGTTTAAACACCTTGGGCCTCAATTTCATTTTTGGCAGTGAGACTAATACTATTTTTAAAGTAATTCTTAGGAATGTTTTTTGTGTGAAAACTCCTCTTACTTGAAAGTTTAAAGAAAATGTAATGTTATCATTCATCATTAAATAGGTCTGTCATTTAAAAAAATCTTATCAAGGGAGCACCTAGGCGGCTCAGTTAAGCTTCTGACTCTTGATTTTGCCACAGGTCGTGATCCCAGGGTGGTGGCATTGAGCCCTGAGCCCCGTGCTGGGCACTGCGCTGGGCAGGGAGCCTGCTTAAGATTTTCTCTCTCTCCCTTTGCTGCTCCCCAACTTGTGCTTGCTCTCCCCAAAAATTTTTTAAAAAGATAATTTGATTTAAAAAATCTCATCAAGGCACCTACTCATGTAGTTATACCCAATTATGTCAAATGAAAAAAGAAGGAAAATGTCTTTTATATTTTTAATAGAAAAACTTTAGGCCATCTTGGCAGATAACTGAAGTAGTCTCTTCATTCTCTTAGTAAACCAGTAGGAAAGAATTATGGTACTAATCTAAAATTATGTTTAATTCACAGTAATATTAGTATGAAATATTTTCCTTCTTCATCTTTTAAAGATCTATACTTTAGGTTTAAAATTGTGCTTATTTCCTTACATATTCATAATTGCAACTGAACAAATTCAATTTCAGTAAAAAATGAAATATCAGGGGCTCCTGGGTGGCACAGTCAGTTAATGTTCAACGCTTGATTTCAGCTCAGGTCATGATCTCACAGTTCCATGGGTTCAAGCTGAGCTCAGAGTGCTGAGTCTGCTTGGGATTCTCTCTCCCCCTCTCTCTGTCCCTTCCCCACTTGCGTGCACGCACGTGCACACTCTCTCTTTCTCTCAAAATAAATAAATAAACTTAAAAAAAATTTTTTTGAATGACCACATCAAAAATTTCCTCAGCCTAGGTGGAACAGTTTTATCAACAGATACTTATCTCTTTTGAAATAGGAGGTATGTCAATATAATTATGATCTGAACCTCAATACAGAATGATTTGAAAGGAACTAGGAAACAGGAAGTACTTTGTTTATGTGTTTCATGAATTAACTTTTAAAATAAAAGTAGACATTAATAAAAAATGTATAAATTACATTAATTATACTTGTCCATTTGTCAATTTTAAAACATGAAATAGAAATTTCATTTCCTGGGGCGCCTGGGTGACTCAGTCAATTAAGCGATCAACTTTGGCTCAGGTCATGATCTCACTGTTTGTGGGTTCAAGCCCTGCATTGGGCTCTGTGCTAATAACTCAGAGCCTGGAGCCTCCTTCGGATTCTGTATCTCCCTCTCTCTCTGCCTCTCCCCTGCTTGTGCTCTGTCTCTCTCTGTCTCTTAAAAATAAATAAATGTTAAAAAAATTATTTTTTAAATTTAATTTCCTTTTGTACAAACTCTACCTGTCTTCCTTTCTGCTTATAAATTTTATCTGTAAGGCCATTCAAGTAGTAAAAATTATACCTTTTAAAATGTTTCAAAATAATTCACTTAAAAAATACACAACACTTGGGGCGCCTGGGTGGCTTA